CTCAAGCAGGAGCAGCAGGAATGAAAAACACAGTACAGAGACACAGGACAAGATGTGGGCACAGCAACAGATGCAGACGTAATTGAATCAGAGAAGTTTATAGAAGAATTTGTAAGAAAAGATTATGTTAGTGAGAAATCCTGAAGACAAAGCTGAAAAGGGGGGGGGGGGAGATAAGCAAGAAAAAACTATTACCATTTCATAGGAAAATGAAGATAGCTTTATGGGACAGAATTTCTAAGAATAACTGATCACTATTTCACTCTGTAAAGATAGTCAAGGGTTTACTATGTTCTGTTGTCTGATATGGAGAATAGGCCAGAATAGGATATGAACAAAACAGAAGACCACAAGCCAGGGTTGCCCCAACATGCCAAAACGTTCGTGCCTGCAAACAGCGGAGCACGATTTCAGAAGCAAGCCTGTAATGACAATGGGTACTACTGGCTTCCAGACTTTGCAGGCTCCACTGTCCACGGGTTACCTCCCTACTGCTACATGCACTTCCCCTTTCCTCTTTTGACACCATGACTCCAACTCCTTCAGGTCTCAAAGACAAAGATATTTTACAGAGCTCAGCCAAGATGCTCCAAAACTCCCTGGACTTCAATGTTCCGTGTGGAGAGCTGCTTAGCTAATAAGCCATTACCACGTGCCACACCCACACTTTCAGAATTAAAATTAGACTGGACAGTGGGACGAGGGAGAAAACAACACCGATCACAGGACTCTCACCATCACTCTCACATTTTTCGTTTATTTGTCTCTCTATGATGTGTTCAAGGTAAATTCTTAAGGATGATCTTCTTGTTCACTAATTCTCTCTTCAGCTGTATTCAATCTGTTGATAACTCATCTACTGAGTTTCTAATTCTAACAGTAGTGTTTTTCATTTCTACAAGTTCTTGTTGGCTCTTTCTCATATCTGCCTTCATAATAATCTTTTCCTTCTTACTCACATTTTCCACATCTACTGGTACTGTATACCGCTACTAAATATCCCAACAGATAAAGGCTTCACGTGTCTGATCCTACTGCTCATACCTCAGAAGCCTCTCATTCATGGACCAGCCTTGTATTTTCATGTATTTTGTGATTCCACATTGTGAGCTTGTTTCTGGAAAACCCGTGGTATGCACAGCGACACTGCGGTCCTCCAGAAAGCCCCAGGGTTCACCACTGCCAAGCACTTCAAGGCACTACCAACACAAGAGAGCTTTAAAAGAAATTCTCACCTTGAAGATTCTCAGACCACAGGCAGCAGTGAAACCATTACAAATCCATGCCGTGAACCAAACTCAATACTCAGGCAACGATACATGCCTGGGATTTATAAATCTAGCATAGCATTCAGCTGACTTCCTACAGGAGATTCATTTCACTAGAACTTCTATCACACTTCATAGCTGTTCCCACTAATATTATTAACTACCACAGCAGAGAAAATAATACTTCACAAGCGAAACTGCATTTACCTAAATGTCTCACTGGTTAGTAAAGGTAAACTACAAGTTACAGCATTTGAAATATTCTCTTACCTGTTCTAGCGCTTGGGTTTTCTCTCGCTCTATTTTCCTGACAGTTTCCTTTGCAGCTTTGAGCGACGATGATGACACAGTTTTAACAGACATAAAATCAACAGTCATCCACTCATCTCTCTGTTTAAAAAAAAAAAAAAAAAAGTCACTTCAATCTAAATTGATTAGAAGTGAAAATAAACACTTGGTAATAACAGCAGGGATTCTGTGGGCACTGAAACCTGGATCATATCCTACATTCGCCTAACTTAAAACAAGTTTTTTAGTCTCTGTATGCCTTAATCTCTCTCCTGTAAAGTGGAATAAAGTCTTACCTTTTAGGACTGTTTCAAGGAGTAAACAAGATTTAAGGAGCGCAAGCCAGTGCCCGACAGACAACAGGTACTCAAACACCAGTTCTTTCCACCCCTCTTCGCTGTGGCTCGATGCATTCGCACGTAGCCGGGTGAACTAGGGCCCCAAATTTGTGAACTACCCAACTCTAAATACTGCTGAGAGAAATGATGACATGGTGTGGCAAAGGGAAACTACTCAGTGGAGAAAGGTCACATACAGGTAACAGCACAGAGCTGCCAGGGCACGAGGACAAAGGGCCGCGTTTCTAGCAACAACTGGAAGCAGGAAACCCTCTGTGGGACTCACACAGAGGGAAGTACTCACTTTCTCACAGAAGAAGAATGGAAGTCTAAAGACTAAGCAAACGGTACCACTGCCAGAATTATTTGTAAAAGTATACTGTTTTCACAGTCTCATTTTTCCCCTGAAGCAATTCGATCCATCTGTCATTTTAGCATCCATCTATTTTAGAAGTCCATACTTCTTTCTTTAAAATCGGGTGACTTACCTGGACAACTTGGTTGCCTTCCCTTTCCGTATTTTCACCTTTCGCTTTCCAGGCCTTCTCCCTGCCAGGAGCCTGGGGCGGGACAGCCTCCACCCACTCGTCTTCAGAGCTCTAGGAACAGGCGGCATAGAAGAGAAGTTCTCAAACGTGCACACTTCCACATAAAAATTCTGTGCTGTTGTTAAATGGTAAATTCTTCAGTTTCCTAGAGAAAATTCTTAGAGTATACTTCCCCTTGAAAAAGCTACACTGAAAATCTGAACAAAGAACCTGTAAACCCACTCTTTTGGGACAAGCCCATGAAACACCATGGGGTGTTTCCTGCCAGGGGAAAGCAAAAACAAAAGATCAGAAGTGACAGCAGAGAACTCACTTCAACACAGAGCTGCGGTTCCTACCAACATTAAGTGATATCGACATCTTTGTTTAACTACAAGAAGGGAAACAACACCCAAGTAAATGACTCTGCCTCTAAGTTTCGAGTTTTTGGATTTCCCTGGGTTTAAAAATGCAGAGATCGCAGTGAACAGCCAGAATGGTAAGGCACTTTGTTAATGTGTTTAAATACCAGATTATTAAATCAGCTAGGAAGTATTTAGCCAACATCCCCTATGTGCTCAGCATTATGCCAAGTTCTGGATTTTGTTTTCCACAAATACATCAATCAACTCCTTCTATGTTAAGTACTGTAATAAGTACGTTCACATATGTTCTCAAGCTGACTCCTTAAAACAACCCTACATAAAATACTATTTGGTTTTACAAATAAGAAAAAGCTTCCCCAAATTAGGTAACTTGCCCAAGTTCCATGGTATCCAAGCAGGAGAACCAGAATAGAAACCTAGATGTGTCTGGCTCTAAAATCTCTTTGGAGCTGTACAATGGAAGTGTAGGAAAGACCCTAGAAATCACCTAGCACACAACACTTGCTAATGTCCCACAGAGAAACCTGGAGGCCAAGGGAAGCAAAGGTGGGTCTCCCGAATGAGAACAGTATTTTTTCATTCCACCAAGTTCTTTTTTTTTTTTTAATGTTTATTTATTTTTGAGAGAGAGAGACAGAGCATGAGCAGGGGAGAGGCAGAGAGAGAGGGGGACACAGAATCTGAAGCAGGCTCCAGGCTCTGAGCTGTCAGCACAGAGCCCGATGCGGGGCTCAAACTCACAGACCACGAGATCATGACCTGAGCCGAAGTCAGATGCTCAACTGACTGAGACACCCAGGCGCCCCCTATCTACACAAAGTTCTTGATAATTACCTAACCAGAGAACAAACATACGTCTGGTAAAAGGTATAATCTACTCAGAGAAAACATATTTGTCTCTGGCATTTCAAGTGCCAACTGTTTCCCAATACAAAGCAGACTTCATTCATTCATTCATTCATTCAGACCTTGATTTGGACTTACAGAAACATTAGAGCTACTTACTGACATATATAGTTAAAACTTTTTAAGGTAACCACTATGAACCTATTTCTGGTCTAGTCATATTTACATCGTCAAACCAACTTAGAAAGGAGTGCACTTGTCGTAATGAGCACAGGGTGCTGTATGGAAGTGTTGAATCACTGTATTGTACACCTGAAACTAACAGAACACTGTATGTTAACTAACTGAAGTTTAAATAAAAACTTTTTAAAAAGATCTATTTAGCAGCCTGGTTCCTACCACTTGCTGTTACCCACTGAAAGGAAGTTTATAATCTGAAAGCACATCCCTCGGGTGCCAATTTGCTAACATCAAGCTAAAAAAAAAAAATGTTTACATTAGCTTTCCACAGGATTCTGTTAAAGGCCTTCCTTTAAAAAAAAAAAAAAAATAGGGGTGCCTGGGTGGCTCAGTCAGTTAAGCTTCTGACTTCGGCTCAGGTCATGATCTCTCAGTTTGTGAGTTCGAGCCCCGCGTCAGGCTCTGTGCTGACAGCTGGGAGCCTGGAGCCTGCTTTGGATTCTGTGTCTCCCTCTCACTCTGCCCCTCCCCCGTTCACACTCTGTCTCTCTCTTTCTCAAAAATAAATAAATGTTAGGAAAAAAAATTTTTTTAATAAAAAAATATATATAATTTATTGTCAAATTGGTTTCCATACAACACCCAGTGCTCATCCCAAAAGGTGCCCTCCTCAATGCCCATCACCCACTTTCCCCTCTCCCCCACCCCAACAACCCTCAGTTTGTTCTCTGTATGTAAGAGTCTTATGATTTGCCTCCCTCCCTCTCTGTTTGCAACTATTTCTCCCCCCTCTCTTCCCCTGTGGTCTTCTGTTCAATTTCTCAAGATCCACATATGAGTGGAAACATATGGTATCTGTCTTTCTCTGCCTGACTTACTTCACTCAGCTTAATACCCTCCAGTTCCATCCACGTTGCTGCAAATGGCCAGATTTCATTCTTTCTCATTGCCAAGTAGTGTTCCATTGTATGTATAAACCACAACTTACTTATCCATTCATCAGTTGATGGACATTTAGGCCTTCCTTTTAAGATTTATATTTTTAAGTAATCTCTACACTCAGTGTGGGGCTCGAACTCACAACCCCGAGATCAAGAGTCACACACTCCAGCGGCTAAGCCAGCCTGGCGCCCCTCGAAGGCCCTCCTCTAAAACCACAGATTTTCTGTATCCTACTAGCTGCTAACCAATCACCTGCGAGTCAGTGATCAGAGCCACCAGCTGCTTCACCACAGCTGCAACCGGTGGCCACTCCATATCATGACCTACAACTTCAGTTGAGCTAGACTCTCATTCACAACCAGTATTCCTCTTACTGGCCCCTGGTCAGTTCTCCCTTTCATTCCCCTGGCTCACTCCCCTTTGAAGATGTATCACTCTTACATTTACTTGTGTAACTATCTGATTTTTTTTTTTCAACGTTTATTTATTTTTGGGACAGAGAGAGACAGAGCATGAACGGGGGAGGGGCAGAGAGAGAGGGAGACACAGAATCGGAAACAGGCTCCAGGCTCTGAGCCATCAGCCCAGAGCCTGACGCGGGGCTCGAACTCACGGACCGCGAGATCGTGACCTGGCTGAAGTCGGACGCTTAACCGACTGCACCACCCAGGCACCCCTGTAACTATCTGATTGATGTCTCACTCTCCCACTGGGCAGTAAGTTCTAGGAGGACAAAAACCGCTTCTGCTCTCACCTAGCTCGTATCCCCAAGGACATAGCTTAACACCTTAGCAGAGAGGTGATGCTTATTATATTCTTCAACATCTTCCTCAAGTTTTCTATCAAACCCCATTCACCACATACTCAGCTAGTGGATCTCTCCTCCTTGACCAAGCAAAATGATGCCACCTTAACTTCCTACCCAACCCCCAACAAAATTATGTACACTTGTGCCTCTCCTTTCCTCCTGTTAATTCTTCCTATTCAAGGCAGGTGCTCCTCCAAAGATCTTGGTCCCAACCATTCCTGTTCCTCCAGGACCACGGACCATCAATTATCTCCTTTTCTTGTAGCCTGGTCTACAAGAAGCACTCTAGTGGCCTAGAAATATGCTCAAGCATTTTCCATCCTGTGTGTGTGTGTGTGTGTGTGTGTGTGTGTGCATGTGTGTGGGTATGTGTGTGTAAATGAGTGAAGAAGAGGAACCTCTGTTGACCTTATGTCTCCCCCTGGCAGCAATTTATCTTCCAACTTTTACTCTAAGCCAAAATTTTCAAAGAGTAGTCTGTAGCCACTGCCTTCACATCCCCACAAAACTCTACAATATGGCTAAGGTTCTCACTAATCTGCTGAAATTTCTTCAAAGGTCACCACCGGCTGCCACTTTGTCCAATGCAGCAGAATGTTTCGGAATACAACTCTTGATAACTCAACTTCCTTGATTTCCAGGACCTTTCCCAGTTCTGCTTCCATTCTTGCTTTCTTCTCCATTTCCCTTATGCATTTTTCCTCCTTTGCCCAGCCCCTAAATATCAATGCTGTGTGGGGTTCCTTTCTTGGCACACTAATTTTTTAATCTCTAAACATTCCCCTTTGGCCATTAAATCCACTCTCATGCCTTGAACTACCATCAAGTGTGCTGATATCTTTCAAATTGGTCTACCCAAAGTGTCGGTGATTTAACCAACTACCTACCATATTTGGATACCATGCTGAACTCAATAGACACAAAACATACACCCATCATCTTCTTCCATAAAACCTGTTCCTCCTCCTGAATTGCTGAACTGAATCACCTGGTACCACCAACCACCCACTTAACCAAGTCAACAATCTTAGGATCAACTTTGCCCCTCCCATCAAAACCTACTATTTTCAGGGGCGCCTGGGTGGTGCAGTCGGTTAAGCGTCCGACTTCAGCCAGGTCACGATCTCGCGGTCCGTGAGTTGGAGCCCCGTGTCGGGCTCTGGGCTGATGGCTCGGAGCCTGGAGCCTGTTTCCGATTCTGTGTCTCCCTCTCTCTCTGCCCCTCCCCCGTTCATGCTCTGTCTCTGTCTCTGTCCCAAAAATAAAAATAAAAAAAAAAAAAACGTTGAAAAAAAAAAAAAACCTACTATCTTCATTTCCAAAATATTTTCTCAAATACATCATCCAGTGAACACCACATGCCTACCATGGGACCCCACTTCCACCCCTGGCCATAACTGACTGGTTCAAAGGTAGGATTCTGACCCAGTTGATATCAATCTGAGTTACTCTCCAGGAATTTGAAATCAAAACAAAATGGGGCTGCTCTAAAGAGAACTGGAAATGCATTGGCAGAAGCCATTCTTGCCATGAGGACAGAATTCAGCAAAACACTGATCTGTTACCAAGAAAAAAAGTGAACTCGGAGAAAAACAAAAATGGAAGATGGCAAGACAACTCATAAAAGCATTACAACTCTAGTTCCAGCCATTCCTGAAGGCCAGCTGCATTCCCACACCTAGAGGTACTACGAGACTTTTGTACTCTAATAATAAATTGCCCCCCTGGGGTGCCTGAGTGGCTCAGTTGGTTAAGCGTCCAACTTCGGCTCGGGTCATGATCTTGGGGTCTGTGAGTTCAAGCCCCTGCATCAGGCTCTGTGCTGGCAGCTCGGAGCCTGGAGCCTGCTTCAGATTCTGTGTGTCCCTCTCTCTCTGCCCCTGCCCCGCTCTCTCTCTCTCTCTCTCTCT